TTCATTTTCTGGCTTTTTCTTTTTTGGCAGATTTACCTAGGTGAGGTCCCTCTGGGGAGGGTTTTGGCCTCCATATATTTACCTAAATCACTGAGGGAGAGAATTCCTCTTAGCAACTTACATACCATCTTGTTTAATTTTTTTGGCCAAACTTCACTCTTTAAGGTAAGTTCTTGCCTCTGGTAACTGTCATGAACTGACAAACAGTGACTCACTGTAATTACGTACTCTTGCTATTTTCACAATGTTCTGTTTATTTTAGAATATGCTCTCTGATTTATTCCACAAGTCTCCCAGCACAACCCCTGGCCCTCAACATGAATCAACGTCTGCTTTAATGATGTTCCACAATTTTTTCATTTTCACAGCTTCTCAGCTTTAGAAGGGACCTTAAGGATTATCTGGTGACCAAACAGAGGCCTCAAGATTTTTCCAGACCAGAAAAGAACAGCGAGTCCTCCTGATGAAATGTCATTTCGGCTTGTCAGTTTTTCCCTCCCAGATCTTCCCTGGCTCCTCAAAGCCAATATGCCCATCTCTCAGGGCCAATTACTTGAAGCTGAGTGGTGTCCGAGAGGACACTTGCCTACAGATATTTTTGCTCCTTCCCACCACCTCCACAGAACCTTCTCTGAGGGCTCCTGTTGTATTAAAACAGAGAGGCAGTATGATGTGGTGGTTAACAGCATGGACTCGGGCCAGGTGCTGACTTCAGTGCTGGTTATGCCATTGTCTACCTGTGTGAACTTGTGAGCAAGTTACTCAACCCCCATGTGCTTTAGTTTTCTTCTGTGTAAAACAGGAAACTGGTAGTACCTCACTGAGATGCTGAAGGATTAAAGGAGTTAATACGTAATACTAATTAAAGTGCTTAGAATATTGCTTGGCACATAATAAGCCCCATACAAATGTTTGTACTGCTTTTATTATTTGCCTCTCTTGGGGCTCTGCCTAACCCAAAGCTCATTTTTTTCAGCCTGCTCTGTCTCAGTCAGAGTTTGCAGGACGTTGTTGATGATGATCCCTATTAATTGTTAGTATTTACACTTAATGTCTCACCTGCTTCTCACAAGAAACCAAGACAAAGAGTGCTGTGGTTTGAATGTTTGTGTCCACCCCAAATTCTTGTGTTGAAATCCTATCCTCCAACGTGGTGGTATGAGCAAGTGGGTCCTTTGGGAGGTGATTGGGTCATGAGGGTGGGGCCCTCATGAATGAGATTTAGTAACCTTGTAAAAGAGGTCCTAGAGAGCTCCCTTACCCCTTCCACCATGTGAGGACATAGTAAGAAGGTGACACCTATGAACCAGAAAGTAGGATTTCACTAGAACCCAACCATGTAGGCACCTTGATCTTGGACTTCCAGCTTCCAGAACTGTGAGAAATAAATTTCTGTTGTTTATAAGCCACTTAATCTGGACTTTGTTATAGCAGCCCTAGCAGACTAAGGCAAAGAGGTTAAGTAATTTTGCCCAGAGTCACACAGCTAGGAAGTGACATAGCTAGGAATGAAACCCAGGGCATCTAACTCCAAAGTTCAAGTATTTTAAGTGGTCCATACATGAATGCCCTAGGGTGTTTGCATTTTGTAGAGAGGTTATCCAAATAAATGAATTTCTAATGGTTAAATGTTCACAGTTATTGGAGGGGCGGGGCGGCTTATACTGGACCAGCTTAAACATATCACATACTAACTCAAATACAACACATTATCTCCAGCTATATCTGTAGGGTATTCCATTCTCCTGGAATTCTGTAGCAGCTCCCCTTTCTATCTCAATTATATTTGTTCCTGTGGGGTTAGCTCAAATCCCATCCAGGAAGTTTGCCTGGAGTTTGTGAGCCCCTGCTCTCCTCCTCACCCCTTGCTTGTATTCTTGTCTTACACCTCTGCCTCATTTCTAGATTGATTTTCTCAGGGAGGTTGTGGGATGTCATGGCTCAGGCATGTTTTATTTTCATGGCAGCTAGCCCTGTGCTAACACGTTTTCAGTAGCTATATATTTATTAGACCTTTTTAATGGAAAAAATTAGGCTGGACCCAGGACAACCCAGTTAATGAATAAATATTTTAATGAAAATTAAGAATGTGGTTCATAGCACTCAGATCCTTTTGGTAAACTTATAATTTCTTTGTATCATCTCAGATGCCATTGTTGTGGTCTTAGTTTATCTCCTTTCTTCAGAGAGCTGTGCTTGTTGTGTAGAATAAAAGCTAAATTTGTTTTGCATAGATTTCACACCTAATAACTAATTTTTATTCACAAACACCTTCCACTGAAAGAGATTAAAGATCTTTGCCAAAATTAGCCTTTAGACGTCATAGTGCCAGATGAAGAAAGATTGGAACTAGCCCACCTCAATTTCAGAAATGGAAGGGTCCCTATAACTCATTGTGTCCCATCTCCTCATTTTACCAATGAAGATATTGAGACCCGGAGAGGGGACGGGACCTGCTGGAGGGTGACACAGTTTATTCGTTTATTCGTTTATTCACCCAGTTATTAATCAGTTAGCAAATATTTATTAAATTCTTGTCTTATGTGGTGCTGGATGGGGGGTTTCTCACATGGAATGGGGTGACCCAAGGCTGGGACCTGGGTCACTGGTGGTTGGGGAGTGAGCACTTACAAGAGATGCTACTGTTTAACTACCTTTCCCCGTGAGTTTCACAGCCTTGCTTCCACACTGCTGCTTCTAACATCTTTTGATTCAAACCCTAACTGTCATTACAGCATACTACCTTAAAATCATTGATAAGACACCACTCTTGGAAAACACATACCTCCTCTTCCACTCCTCCACTAGCGGGCAGTTCTTGGGGAGAGGGACAGAGCACGAGGCAAGTATGTATGGCACAGGGGCTCTGCAAGCACAAGGGAGGGCACCTGCCCCCAACTGGGAGACTAGGAAAGGCCTGCTGTAAGAGAGGTGTCAGCTGAGACCCAAGGTTGAGTACCAGCTAGATGAAAAGTGGTGAGGAGGAGGAGGGAGGAGTGTTTCAGGCAGGGGGAACTGCTTCTGCAAAGGTTCAGAAGTGACATAGGTACAACATGAGCCTAGAGCCAGAGGGCGGAAGAGTGAGCAGTGGTTTAGTTCCTTTCCCTGCATGG